TACTTATCCCTGTGGCAGTGGTCCCACTTGACCAGTATGCACAATAATAAGAATAGAAGAAACTCTTCCGGTTTCAATTCTGTCCCGTAGAAAGATCTTTTTACTTTAGTTAAAAATGTGTTCACAACGAGACAAGAATAGAATAGAAAGAATAAATAGCAACCAGAAGAGATTTATACAGTTGAAAGGATTATAGTGCAGAAATGACATTTTTTCACTTTCTGACCACTTTATTAGGTACTACCGGCTTGAACCCCCCATTTTCCCTTCAGAAATGGCACAGATCATGGTTACAGCCAGCTGTTAACGGAGTTAAATATGAGTGTCGATGAGCGGTTGTGCAGGTGTACCTAATAAAGTGGCCGGCGAAGCTACTTTTCTGCCCTCCCCACATGATGGCGCCACAGTCTTACACTGTGTGTCTGCACGAGGCCGTAGGACTCTGCTGTGAAGCCTGATGGCAGTGGAGAGTCAGCGGAGTACAGTGTTTCCCTGTAACAGCAAACTTTCATCCTCAGTAACTGCCAGGCGTGGTTACAAATGACTGAATGGTGAGTAATTGCCCTTGCATAACGCACATGGACATGTATAACGTGGACAGTCCCTCGCCATGTACAAATCACCCCTGTGATTAAATACGACTTCCTTCCTCTGTGCTATTTGACAGTGCGTGTCTGTGTTATACAACGTTAGACATTCTTAGCTGAGTCAGACGTAAGGAACACTTTGACCGTAACAGAGACGTCCGACCTTATTTCCGTACTCTCTGGAAATATCAACAATGTTCAGTTTCAAAGTAGAATGTACCTCCAGAAAAAAGTACCACTGTCAACATATTTATTGGATTTACTTTAACCAACTCGAAATAACAGTTTAATTTTGGTATTAGACGGGGTAAATGCTTTCATGTGATATTTTTGTGTAATCAAATGTTCTTTAAAGATTAAGATGTCCTGCTTGGCTCATCAGAGCTAATCTGATTTATATGATCATAGAATGTTTTTAAAATTTTAAATTCAATATTTCCATTTGAAATTTAGTGAAGCAGGAGAACGAAGTGATGTAACTTTGTACCAGCAGCTTTCCAACAGGGTTTAATAAAGCATTAAGTTGCGCTCAACATATTTAATATGACCCATCTTGACCTTTGACACACATTTTACCTGTCACCTGACATGTTCATGAGTCAGAACATGTCAGGTGACAAGATCGAAGTCAAATCAAGGAGCGGAAATGTTGATTTTAGCGTTCTTCCTTCATTCATAGTGTTGCATTTGCTGAACTGTATTTGCTCACAGTGACGTTTGAAACACTCCCAGTTGTGAGCAAATACGGGGTGAACATGCTGCCGCATGACCGCATGTTATAATGTGTGGAAAGTATGTGGTTGGGAAGACCTATCACGCTGACACAAAACCTGGTCCATCCAGTTCTTTAGTTTTGTAGCAACGTGCAGTTTGCATCCTTTGTGTTGTAGTGTAGCCACAAATACATGCCCTTTAAATGTCAGCAGATAGAAGAAAAACTGAGAAAACTAAAGTATGAATTTTGCCATTTTGTGCAAAATGCAGATCATCTTTCATTATTCCTGGCAGAGCAATGAAAAAATTATGAATGCAATGACATAAAAACCAAAAACTTCAAATAAAGCTGTCTAAAAGTTAAGGGGTAAATAAAACAGGGCGAAATCTTCATTCTCTTTTTAATCTGACTTGAATTAACCTTGATGAGATTAGATGCAACTCTGTAAAGCTCTGACAAGGAAACTGGATCCACATGACGCCACCTGTAAACACAGAGAACGGCGTTCCAAGGAAATCGCTGTTTTCTGCAGAAAAGTGCAAGTAAGGGCTGATCAACCTGCTGTTTGACTCAGACAAGGCCAACTCCTGATACATGTTATTCCAGATTTTAGGTATAAATGTTGAAAGCATTCACAGTTTTCAAGAGAAAGAGGTTTGAAAGAAAGGGAAGCTTAAGAAAGACTCTTACAGCCCAGTGCAAACAGCATTAGCTGTATGTGTCGACTGATGTTTTGCAGTTCAAAGAGGCAAAAGGTGGCTGTGAAGAAGCTCACATGGGTTTGGAAAATTTCCCACTTTTTATAAGTAAATGTTAACTGAAGTGCAAGCATGATTTCATGCTTATTCAGTTTCGTACAGAGCAGTTTCCTCAATTTATCCTCACATAATCACACCGACAGATATTTGCATGTAGCATATATTTCCAGAGAAGTCATAAATCACATATTTTGCTGATGGGGAAGGGCATTCGGTTTATTGCCTGTTCGGTCGTTGCCAAAAATCAAATTGAGCCAGTACCGAAGAGGTTATGACAGCCGAGGGTCCGTTTTAATAAATGAAAAGGATTTATTACATAAGAGTGTCCCAGAAAAACAACTTAGAGTTAAATTGGTTTACATGTGACCACAAACTCAGCTAACTGAGAGACTCAGGCCAGAGGGATACTTGGAAAAGAAAAGCACGGTATTCCAAATAAGCTGAATAAAGACCTTTCAGTTTCAGGTGTTGTAGCTGTGTTGGTTTGAAAATAACTAACTTTGTTCAAATTTATGCCTGAGATGTCAGGCAGGCGATGAGTGATGCCTTCATCTGAGCTGGTGTCAGTTTCCGTCCTCCTTCAGGAGACGTTGAGGCAAGCAGGCAGAGTTACTTCCTCCTTGGAAAAATGAATTACTCAAAATGAGATATGTTTTTCCTCAGAGCTCTATCAGTCTGTGAGGAATTTTGGAAGAGGACAGATGATTGTTACGGTGATATAATGAGGTCATAGTGGGCTGCGTGCTTCGTTACACATGTAAACAGCTATTTTTGGTCAGAGCTTTGTTTTCATTGTGAATTATTTTAATTACAATCATTCATCAGTCACTTTGCTAGTTAAGTCTTGCTAGACTCCCTTTTTCCTTTGAGATGGACTTAATTCTTCGTGGGTTAGATTCAAAGGTGGTGGAAGCAAAATATGTCAAGCACATATCCATTACACCAGCCTGAGCTAGTGGTATGAGGTGGGATGGATCCATGCTTTCATTGTGGCTGATGCCAAATTCTGGCCATACCATCCAAATGTTGCTGCAGAAATCATGACTTGTCACTTGCCAACTATTTTCAATCCACCATTGGAGGAGTCCATGCAAACTGTAGTCTGGCTTTCCTGTTCAAAGCTGACTGGAGGGCCACCCGGTGTGGTCTTCTGCTGCTGTGGCTCATCTGCTTCAAAGATGTGTGTTCTAAGATGCTCCTCTGCATACCTTTGTTCATACAAGTGGTTATCTCAGTTGCCGCTGCCTTCCTATCAGCTTGAAGCAGTCTGGTCATTTTCCCCTGACCTCAGGTAACAAGTCATTCTTACCCAGAGAGCTGCTGCTTACTTATTTTCAGTCTGTTTGTTTTTTTAATTCTGGTTGTGTGGGAAAACCCAGATTAGTTTCTGATGCATTCAAACTAACCTGTCTGTTCCCAGCAACCATGCCACATCCAAAGTCATTTAAATCACCTTTCTTCCTCATTCTGTTGCTCAGTTAGAGCTCAAGCAAGTCCTCTCAACCATGTCCTCATGATTAGACACCAACATGATAAGACACTGCTGACGAATTTGGCAGCGATGCTAAGTGGTGAGCGTGAGGCTCCTCATATCAGTCTGGGGAAAAGGGAGGGGAAGATAAAATAATAATATTTGTAATAACAATATTGAATTAGGAAGAAAAAGAATAGTAAAATTAAGAAAGATATTGGGGGAAAATATATGGAATAACTAACAGTCCCCAAGTCAGCAGCACTGGAATGATGGAGAGCCGACTCACAGACTATACACAGAGGGTAGCTTTGCAGGAAGAGGTTACCCAGGTCAACAGCAATTCTGTTTTATGATTCATGGAGTGAAAATTCTCCTCTGTCTTACTGTCTTTCAATGGGACACGTCAATTTGGAGACAAGTTCGCTGCTACAGAGCTGAGTCGACCCTAGACCTGACCCTCTTTAACAGTCCTGAAGACCCAGATGAGCCCATAAGCAGGCTGTCGATAATATTAAACTGAATTCTGTGTTGCTCACAGGAATGATGATGAAAGTGAGCTGGAGCCCCTCCAAAGCAGCCCACTCTTCAAGTTGACCAAATCCTTGAACTCAACCTCCAGCTACTGTGAACAGGGTGGAGAGTAGATATGGTATTCAATTAATCAGTATCATTATAATACAGTATTATTAATTTATTACTAACACATAGATATAGATAATCCAATAATGACAGGTTTTATACATACACAAGACCTTGGCAATAGTAGTGCAGAGAATTCTAGCAGTAGGGGTTTGTAATTGTATTGTTGATACCGGTAAGTCTCCTAGGAGGCAAACCTCGGGGGGGTGAAGGGATGTGGCATTCCAGTGTGCGTGGTGTTATATAACTGCAGCGTGGTGCCAGGTTAGCATGCAAGTACTTGTCAGTAGTAGTGCTTTGTGTGTATATCTGATTCTCCAGATCCCTTTTTGTGTAACTTTTCACCCATATAAAGTTTATTGTGAACAGGTGTACCTAATGAAGTAGTTTGTCATGTTTATGTTATATTCATTTCACAGGAAAATTGAAGTCACGAATGTTTTCTGTGCCTCTTCAGACAAAACCACCTCACACACAACTACTAAACGTTAATGAGCCAGCTCTCAGGTTGACCCCGTTTTTCTGCCATCATCGACTTCACTTCTGTATTTGTTCCCATGCAGGACCCCTGTAACCTACAGCAACTTTTTCATTTTACAATATTGTTTATTTGCCTGTTTGACACTCTGGGAGACAAAAAGCCAGATTTAGGCAAAAGAAAAAAAACTGTAAGTATATGATTTAAGGTGAAATCACAGGATGTGACAAATTTTATTTTGTAATTTTGCTGCTTACAAGAAAATAAATCTTGGTAATGCTGGCAGGATGACACTTTACATATCCCCCGTGTGTTGCGAAAGGAAGAATAAAGACACATGAAGACATTCTCATAATAAAACAGTAATTTATTATCTTTTTTTTGTTGTTGTCATTGACTGAAAACTAGAATTGTCTGAACAGCACATTACAAGGGCATCGTTAAGATATTTTCTCCAAGGCTCAGTGATCACTTTCATACAGTACATTTGGCATGTACACGGTATCTCCTTCAAATGAAAGAACAGAAAAAAAGAGAAGCCCATTTGCCAAAAAAGAAAAAAGAAAAGAAAGATGACTGATTGTACAATTACCAAGCAATTTGGTTCTAAGCCACAGAGAGAGATGCCGATGGCCTGCTGACAGCAAGCGTCGGCAGAGGAGGCACAAAAGATGCAATTGCAGACAGGACATCCCATAATATGCTCATACGCAGCTGACTGAGTTCCAGCTTGAAAGTGAGAAATGTTTAATAGTTTGGATTGTTTTGTGTATTGCTGTTTAGTTTTTGTTTTTTCCACTGTAAGCAAACTGTTATTCATTACAATTAAATGGTGCATTCATCAAAATCTGCAATGTAACAAACCCTTCTCTATGCATATGAAATTTAACAGCATTTAGATGAAAACAAAGACTGCTCCTTTTCTCGCCTCATGCACAAGACTTTTCCTTCCATTCTTCTTCTTCTAACTCACACCATCAGCTACTTACTCCAACCTCCTATCCATTTTCTCTCTCAGAAACCTTCAGATTTTCATTCAACAGAAAAACAAGAGTTCTGGATAAAAACCATGAGGTACCGAAGTGGTCCGATAACAGATCACGCAGAATATGCAAAATGGCGACAAAGAAGCACAAGGAAGGAGAGAGTAGAAAAAAATATATATAAGTGCGCGGTTTAAAATAAAAAAGGAAAAGAAAGACTTACACAGCTTTGTGTCTTTGGTTATAAAGTAGGTCAAACAATTTTCACAGCTTTTCATCCCCCCCAAAGCCAAACCCAGCAAATTCATTTTCGTTTTGACAAAGAAAGTCTAGAAAAAGTTAATCAACAGTTTTCTTTATCAAAACATCCCATCACATATTATTTATCTTAAACAACAGGTGTTCTCCCGTACAAACTGCCCATGCTCTTAATACTTTACACTTTACAAAATATACATTCAACCTGGATTTCATCTAATGTAAGCGCAGCTTTAGTGTTAGCACTATTTCATGAAGAGGCCAAAAAAGTTTTTTTTGGAAACTTATTGCCTACCTGTTGAGAACTACGAGTTGCAAGAACCTATCAAATTTAATACCCGACAGATTCTAAAATACCAAAAAGAAAAAAAAGGTTTCTTTTTTGTTTTTTAATAAGCATCTCCATGACATTGTTCATTTACATTATGAAAATAGCAGCCCTGAAATAAATAAACGCAAATACTAAAACTGAACTAATGAAAATTTATTATGATTCATGTCAAACGTATGGTGGCTCTGAGAACAACACAAGATTTTTCGATGCAGCATATAACAAGCCGAGGCTGTCGGCTCGATCCGCTCGAGCTGAGCCGCCTGCCGGCTGCGTCCTCTTGCGCTCAGGAAGGACGTATCCTCCAAACCACCTCTCCATCACCCTCTCTGCACTCTTGGCCTCTTCCAGCCCTGCAATGACGTTGGGTGCAGACACTGGGAGGTCAGCCCCTGCTGGATGTTTCCAAGGATCCACGTCACCCCTCTGGTCCCTCACAGGTACACGCTGCCGTCTTCCCCCCATTTGTTGCCCCACAAATCCAGCTCTCTGTGCCCTCTGACCCCCTTACACAACATCAACATGCAGTTGCTGGTTTTTGTTTATTTATTTTTTTTAAATGCACACTGGCTGCCCTGCTCCCCCTCACCCCCCACCCATTTGCCCCCCCATCTTCTCCTTTTTCAGCTCTGTTGCAGCCAAACACAAGGCCCGAATAAGACTTTGCACAGGATGGTAAATGTCTTAAACAACGTGAAGGCCTGATGACATCAGCACACTCTGAAACGCGGCTCTTAGTGACAAACACAGATGTTGCTTTGTTGATTTGTCCTCAAGTGGAGCACTTTGAACCCAGAGCAGAGTCCATTTGCTGTTTGGGGTTAAGGGGACGGTAGTAGTTAGTTGTTGCCTTTGCTAACAGACTCCTGTCCGTGGGACGTGTGTTTCTGACAGTTTATAAAGAGGGAATCACGCTGAGGTGATGTCGGGCTGATGAGGGACGCTCTGGCTTCCCTCGTGGTGAACCAGAGAGGGGGTGCTGTTTGTGACGAGCGGGTGTTGCTGCTGCAGCGGCGGCGATCTGCTGCCATGGGTGAGCTGATTGGTCAGATGGCTGAGCTGCTCCGAGTTGGCCAGTGACTTCAGCACGGCGTTCTCGCGCTCCAGCATAGAGTTTCTCTCGTACAGCTCCTTGATGTGCTCCTTCAGCACCTCCACCTCCTCACGAACAGCATACATCAGGTGACTCTTAACCAGATCCTGACAGGGAGGACAAACTAAAATTAGCACAGAAAAATAAATGTGGTCTTTGTACCGAGGCGTCACTGCTGCAGCTGCTTTTTAACAAATCCCCGGTCAATCAAAAGGGACCAGCAGCACAGAAGCCAAATGTTTGGGCAGATTTGAGGCTAATTTTTCCTCTGTTTCCTTCTACAAGACGTTTCACGTTCATCCTCTTTCAAGCACTTATCTTAACATCAGCAAGGTAAAAGTTATTGTGAAATGTGTAATTGTACAGACTGGCAAGGAATCCATATCACAGGATTCATTCTGCTATGACTTAAATATGTGGAAAAACTCACCATTGCCTGCTCAATCTTGTTATCGATGGCAACGACGCTGGCTCCCGAGGCACTGTGGACGGAAGAGGAGGAAGTTTAGATATCAATCTTGCTTATGCCCATCGGACATTTCACATTCACTAAGTGCCAAAATTGGCTCTCCCACAACTTGAGTTTTCACTTGCATCGCTCAGGTGAATCAAAGCAAACCCTCGAGCGTTTTCACTCATGCAGATTAGCTTCTAGAGAATGAGATTAGACCAGGAAAAAACAAAACAAAAATAAAACGCGTACTATTTTTAGTGAATATTCCATTGTGTTTAACACAAACTGGCAGAGGGCCCATGTTTGGAAACGCAAAAATGCAAGACTGCACGCTACAAACGTGATGCTGTTTTCAGAGACCAGAAGCACGGGAAAGATTGAGGTGGAAGGTGAAGACATATCTTGTTATACACACCAAACTCTGTTTCAGCAACAGCTTTATAACCCGGACTTGAAGCCTTTGCTCTACACGCCTGCATTAAGTGAAGTTGGCTTTCATCGCTCACACTATCTGTTCAGTATAAACAGCTGTCAGACTCTACTTTCAAATGTGCCACCAGTGAATCAGAGCATAGCAGCAACCCATAGAAACCAAGACAAAGTTCCACTTGTTATAACAGCTAAATCAAAATTCAACTATCTGCACATATATCCAGGTCAGACAGCATCTATGCATGGCAGACAGGGAGTCTGGTCAGTCTTGCAAAACGTGTTCGGTAATCAGATTACATCATCAGTGCACGCTCTCTTTTCTAAATTATATCTGCATAAAATACCAAGCACCCACTTAGCTCCTCTCTGCCTCTTACATCGTTATAAAAACATCTTGATGTGGCCTCAGAGGAGCTCAACCCTGTAGTTTACATCTCACCATTTCTTCACCAGAAAGCGACGATTAAGCGTTTAATTAAAACACGACGATTAACTTACGAGTCCGTGCTACAAATCCTCATGAAACCAAACGACGCCGACTTTTCACCGTTTGCCCTTTAACCTCCTCCACAAAAAGCGCCTTTGTTTTCGAACGATCACCGCCCTGCTCCGCTGTGGGGCGAAAACAAAGGCAATCGATGTGTTCTGGAGCCGCTGGACGGCGCTCTGACTGGGAACTGGAGCAGCAGACGGAACACAATGTGCAGACTGCCTCTAATTATTGTTTTTAGAGCGTCCACGATGTTAAAAATTGGTTAACGTTATAAGAATGTGATAAAAGTAGATGTGAAACAGTTTCCTTTGAATTAAAGACAGACGCAATTATTGTGTACCGAGGTTGGGGGTTGTAAGGAGCTTAAGTTAAGGGAAAAAAAACATTTGTTACGTTATGTTTACATCTTTTTTTAAACGTAATTAGATAAAAATTAAAATTAAAAAAAAAGAACGTGGAAATCGCACACTGCGCTAACATCAGCCTGGTACCAGTCTATCCATCATTTACACTCCGCGTGCTAGAGCGCACGTAGTGTACGGCTCCGTGGACATCTCGTGGGGGGACACGTGGTATAAACACAGATCAAACTGATGCCATATGTTCGGGAAGAGAGTGGTCAACACTCGGAACAGCTGCTGGCAAAACACCTCAAACTATGCGGGGGACAAAACGAGCGCAAATGGCCACCGAGCAACACTCAAAGCACGTGTAAAAACATTGACAAGGAGCCAAAGGTCTGCAGTTCGTAAATAAGAGTTTATAAAAAAGGATGCAGGTATGTAAATGTTTTCAGTTAGTAACGCAAAGATGCCGTAAAAACTCCAAACGCGGTCTCCATATGCACGCGTAAAATAAGCCCACACGCGGGGACACAGAAACAGCTTTTAAAGGTGTTTACCTGACGCATCGCGCTCTGTAGGCCACCAAACGCCCTGAATGTGGCGGGGATGTTCCCGGCGAGCAGGGCAGGCTGTAGCTCATTTTGCAGCGCATGGTTCCTGAAGTTTTCTCGCGGCTACACGTTTCTTACTGAGTAACAAACACAAACAACTGTCCTGTTTGAGTGGAGGCTCACGGTTTCTTAAAACCACTGCTTGGTCACATGGTGAGGCGGAGTTCAGCCTTCGCCGCCTCCTCCCTCCCCTCACCATTCATTTACTCCGAGAAGCTTCTTTCACAAGTTACATTATTCAGAGCCGAAACGTACGTGCGGAACAGCCACTCCAGAGGCACACGGGAACATATTTAAAGGCTCAGCTTTAATTCAAGGAGAGGCACAGCTCTGTATGTACCCTATATCTTGAGTTAGTGCCTTAAACTCCATCTGCACCATTACAAGGCTTCTGCAGGCCTGTTTCTCCACGTTTATTCTGTCTTTCCTTGAAATTTTGAGTCAAACTTTGCGGAGTTTGGCATATAAATTGTGCATAAAACACAACAAGGAGCGGTAAACAACAGTCGTTTTAAAAAGAATTTGGTGGTTTTATTGATCACATTAAGACTGCATTAAAACATCACAGGAATAAATTCATGTCATTTTCGGCTAATTACATTAGCAAAGCAGTCCCTTCCTCCTCTGTCATTTCCAGTAAAAACACCAAGATTAAAACATGAGATGACTTCAAACTGCCCGCTTATTTTTCCACTCACTCAGTGGTTTACCAAGCACCTAAAATGGTTTAACTAAACGTCTGAGATTAGTCTGCGATAAGAATGGCAGCCAGGGTGTACCCCCACATTCCGGCTCGTTTGACTGCTGGGAGAGGCTCAAGCGTCTCCACTGCCCGTAATCCTGAATTGGACAAGCGGAAGCAAAGGGATGGACGGACGTCAGAGATGTGTAATGACGGTGAGGTAAATGAGTTGCATTCCAGCACAAATCTCATTCAGATATGTGATTTTAAAGTCGATAGATGACGGCAGCAGCAACAGAACACATTCCACCCTTTGAACTGAGCACTTCCACATCTGGGACAGCGAAAGAGATATGTCCACGAGCTTTGGCTGGAATGTGTTGTTATCAATAGCAAAAGACAAGAGGCATGCAGGTTGAATTAAAAATACAAAAAAAAAAAAAGAGAAAAGTTTGGCTTTGCAATCTGTACTTGAAGAGTTAAAGAAAAAGCTAGAAAGGAAGAAACATGTTGTCATTCCATGTTCAAGGAAAACAAAGCAAACTGTATATTTTATTCAAGGAAGAAGACATGTGGTGGTTTATATAAGGACCACTGGCTGTGTTAACCTCAACACGGGCCTTCCCCGCAGACTGCAGCAGAGTACAAATGTACTCACCACCCCCCACCACCCCCAAACAAAGTCTCCGGACCATAGGCAGCACATTCCAGTTCTGGCCACCTCCGGCCCCGAGGCCAATGCATTCAAACCCACAGCCACAGCCACCAGGGCTGGCTGCAGAGTTTCTACCACGCGTGCCTCCCTTTTGACACCGAGCCCATCTCCTCTTACACTGCACGGTGTACCCATCCTCCACCTGGATCCGTGTACATCACAGCAGACACGTGCAGGAGCCAAACAAACTCCCTAAATCATCACACACTGTTTTACAGCACCAGAACGCCAATGTGTTCTCCATTAGGGTCACAAATGCACCGGCACTCGTCCCCGTCCCAAAGCACATAAACACTCTCTGTGGGGGAAGGCAGCTGAATAAATTAAACCTTTGTCTTACAGTAATAACCCCCCTCAACGATCATATTTCAAAACAATAGCTGGAGGGTGGGGGCTGCAACAACAGATGAGTGTGCTCGCTGACAACTCACTGTGGCTCTCGTTCCGATGCAAACGCTGGCTGCAGCCGGCCGCTTGTTTGAAAAGACAGGAGGGTGTAGTTCTGCCGCTGCGCCAGTTGGCGTCAGCAGATGCCCCCGATTAGCTGCGATTCAAAAGTTCAGCAGCTTCAGGAAGACAGCAGTTTAGCTATGACTTCATTATTATGGCACAAATCAGCTTGAAGTTTACGTTTAATCATGACGCAGCTGTAAAATTAATTTTAAAATAAAAAAACAAAGCATGTTTTTGCTCCATCGGAGCTACAGGGGACCAATTCTCTTTTTATCTGTCTGAAAGGGGTCAAAAGTGCTGCGTGACCCAGCAAACAACCAAGCAGGCTCCACAACACTCTGCTCAACTAAACGATCACTCACTCTGAAAACAAAGAAACCAGTATTTTTGCAACAGGGCGTTCTCGGCAGCAGACCTGTGAGCCCCTCATGTTTACCCATCTGCTTAAATCAATCAGATCATATCCAGTTTTTCCACAGAAACAAGTACTAAAAACAGAAAAACAAAAAGAAGAGGAAACTTGGATTTCAGTCAATGCAATGTCTGCCGACATGAACAGATTTTTTTAGAAATATGTTATATTTAGATTTTCAGTTTCTGATCACATCAGCCTAATAAATCAATCAAATCCTCACATGTGAAGCTGAAGAAACAGTTTCAGATTATTTCCTGCCACACAAATAAAACTTTTTATTCACTAGCAAAACCGCAATTAGAAAGTCGTTAGTCAAAATGTTCTATATTGAAATCAGTTATCAGGAAGGGCACAATTTACCTTCTAATGTGTGTGAAACGTGTGAGTCAACACAGCCTCAATGCTTTTCATGAAAATAACCTGAAACTGGAATATTAAAAAGGGGAGAAACAGGTTACACATCCCACAGGGAATTCTTGTGGTTTACTGCAGTTTATGTTTCCTGCAAGCACATATATTTGCATACTGAACTAAAATAATTCCCCAAAGACAACAATCTCAACAAACTACTTCTGTCCTCTATGGGCAGCAAAGCTTCAAACAACTGTGACAATTGCAGGATGCGACAAGTATGTTAATACGAGTCTGTGAACGTGGCACATATTTGGATGCTGTATTGTTGGGAGTATGTCTATATAAGGGGTGGTCCATAGTGACACAATGGAGTCTAAACGAAATAAGAGAGACCACGGGGAAGTTTTATTTCTCCAACACTAAATCAAAGTCACAAGTGGGCGTGTCTGCTGCCACCGAGCTTCCTCGTAAACAGGCCGGAGGAGTTGTCCCACTGCAACCTCATCTGTTGCGCAATATCGCTACACTG